ACCAGACGAAGTTAAGTTGTAATGTCCCATGTGTAATGAGAGTTCGTACCAAAGTTTTGAACATACCATCGCTAGAAGTGCAGTCGAACGTAAACCGGCAAGACGGTAAAATATGAATTTCAACACATTGCATAAAATCTCGGCAACAAGGTTGGAGAAATAGGTGGAGCAAGATTGGAATTTTGAGAAAGTAAGAATCGATTGATGCATTATCAAGGTCTGAGTAAGGTAAAAACTCACAACAATATTGGGTTCACTCACAATATTCACGGTGTGAATGTGATCTTTGGGCAGTTTTTCATGACCTCAGACAATGCCATCATCATTATCATCATAACCATCATTACCATCATCATCATCGTCATCATCATCATCATCATCACCATCATCACCATCATCACCATCATCATCATCGTCATCATCATCATCATCGGGTCTAAGATCCGCGTACTTGTCATTCAGCGGTTGTAACGGCGGTAAAGCTGCACATTCGTGGCGAACCTTGAGTATAAATGTGAATTTTGTATATTCAGGCTGTGAATCTGTTGAGTTTGTTCAGCCGTTACTCCAGGCGAATCACCGAGTCACAGGGTTCATGAGGTGCGCGAAGCCCCGTTCTTCTTTTGGCAAATCAACCTACAATAAGTCAACTTTACACCACAAGTGTAGCAGTTCATCCAGAGCAAAATTATGGTGTAAAACAATCCAACAGTTTTATCTACGTAGTTTAAACCATTTGGTCGAGTCTTTGTTAGATTCTGTCGAGGCATCAGGTGTAGAATATCTTCAGGACAATTCGAAGAGATCATGTAGTTTCGCCCTGATTTAAACATGCCGGTTATCGATATGAGTTGTTTCTTATTTGCACAAAGGTTATCTCCGGCAAGAGACGCTGCATGAATTCCGTTGGATGCTCTTTTTGTCACCTATATATATATCATCAGATTAATAATCCCGATCGCTGACATTTTTTGGAAATCCTTCAAGAGATTTCAACCGTAGTCTGCTAAACATCTGCTGATCGGTGGCCTGTGATACGAAGCAACAGGAAACAGACACGCAAGGGACTCCCACAGCCCTGCCTCGGCCAATTTATTGAACCATGCGGGCTGGTATAATCCGAATGGACGATGTTTTTGACGTACGGCAATTTTGTAGATATCCGTGCACAACTATGCATTGTCAAATCATTCAGCTGATGATTGTAACAACTTGGCTTTTGCGGAAGACTTAACTGAGTCACATTGGAATCGCTTGTCTATTACACCTTCACACCGAGGAAAGCAAAACCGGTCGCAGGCCAGCGGAGGGGTCTCCGCAACCCCAACGATATATGTTTACCGAAATACGCTCATTTGCAAACAAATTTCGTCTGGCAATAGACTCACTTGGAGGCGAGCTGAATCGATCGTTTATGATGCGTCTAAGACACTGAAGTGCTGCACGCAAGCTGCCTCATGTTTCAGTTGCATAAATATTCAAAACATTGCGATGCATGTATAGACGTAATACTATACTCATACGGTTGTTGAAAATTCTTTGACTGGGTTCCAGGTGAGTCTCTCGCAAAACCAAATTGGTTGCAAATGAGTGTATTTCGCTAACTTCGTGCAATCTGATTTAAAGTAGAGGACTTCGCCCCAAGAAGGGCAAAACTGTTCGTGAGGTGTCGAAGAATTTCAGCAACCTCATGAGTAGTGTATTAACTCCCTTTTCAGTTTAATTCGTTCCATAGACAGATGTCGAAGGATTCCTTGGTAAACTTTGCGAGTTCGGGTGCCACTATGGCCATGCCAGAATGAATGTTTCGCCTGCAAACATGGTTTCAGTTTTTCTGCGTGGTGATGAACGGGATGCCACTGTCAAGCCCAGCGTCATCGAACAGGAACGCGCCAGTCTCTTTTCATAAGCTGACTAGTTCACGAACGTTAGCACCGATCAAACTGGGTGATGGGCTTAGGCAAGACTGTAGAGCTGTCCACTAAGCTTTTTCATTGAGATCGTCATTTGAAAATAATTACGCCAATCTGGTAAGCAAGGTCAAAGAAGACCAATACCGGTTTGATAGACGGACCACAAGTGCGTGTGTCGGAGTAGAGGAGAACAACAGCTGCCAGTATCGCTTGTGTAAGTGCCCTTTTGTCCAGACTATCCGCCCCGATTCCATACTCGAGCACATAAATGAATTGGCACATGATACCTAGTCCGTTGTTAATCTTTTTTTCCATGCTATCTTCCCGCGTTGAGATCCAAAAGCTTCTGGTTTTTCTTTGGTGCTTCGAGTTTATTTTCGCTTTCTACTTATCGGACTCGCCACTTCACAAACGATGAGGACAATCTCTCCATAAGTCCCGGTTCGGTTGCTCTACATCAAATGTCCATTTGGCGTATACGCGGGGATCGATTTCCATCTAGGGGTTGGGTTTCTGAGCTAGAAAGAGCATGTTGTAATTTCTCGCACACTAGAATGCAAATTTCAGGAAGTACCATCACCCTTCGCCATGACACGCCGCGGTGTTGCTGAATGAATCTTGCATGCAATAGCAGTGATTTGCAGAAAGCATGACCAACTGCGATCGCACTTGACAAGATTTGTTTCCGGTCGCCCCTGAGCAAACGAATGTAACTGGGGGCTCTAAAGTTCGGAAGTGAAATTTCTTGAATACTGCAGCTCGGTGGGCCGGCCAATCGACTCTATCAGGACTGTACTTCAAATGGTCCTGATTGCCACGTATCGTCAGATGCAACTCATCGCAAAGGGAATCAGTCAGAAGATCTAAAAAAAACACCTAGCATTACAATGAATACATGTCCATACCCAATCCTTGAGCCAATCCGGAATCTGTGGGAAATGTTGTATAAGGGATTCACTGTGCCAGGAATTCGTCTGCCATGAATGCCCTATTTTGGGTTTATAGGTGACATCCATTGAGTTGACAAACTGGCTTACTAGTCTTTGCTTTCCCGCCTAAATTCAGTGAAAAATGCAACTGTGGCGATTTGTAGAACCTGGAGAAGAATCGGACAAGGTGCAGGTGCGAGCGGTGTGCGAGCAAGCAAAGATGAACAGTGTAGTTCGGTCACACATTACAGATGCCACCCAAAGATTCCAGACAGGACGGGGCCTTCTTCTGATTGTCTTCATGTTAGGAGAATGACGGTTTGTGTAGCTACGCTGGCGAAAGGTAGCAGTCGTGTAATAGAAGTTTGAAAAAGAACTGGTACCGGTTTCTTGAAGGAACACCACTCATAGGATTGCTGAAAAAACTTCGACAGCCAACGACCGGTTTTCCTTTCTGTTGGTCTCATGAGCTAGGCGCAGCCAACGAGTTTCCATTAGCATTATGTTCTACCTGAAATCAGATTGGATCGACTTCACCAGACATACCCATTGGTATACTAATTTGGTCTTGACAAGTGATTAAACTGAACCCAGCTGCACAGCTCGTTTAGGACGGCCTTCTTCAGTTGAGTGTGGTGCACAAAGGCAACCTCGTGTTTCTCTTGGTACGACATCCAAGATGTCGTAGTACATTTTCATGAAGGAAGCTACTCATCAGACTGCTGAAAACGCTTCGATAGCCCATGGCTGGTTTCGCCCTTCTTCGGGCTAAAGTGCCGAGTTTCATTCAATTCAACGTCTAACCTGGACCCAAATTGTAAGCAGTTCGAGAACCATATTAGTTTGCAAGTGAATGTATTAGGTGAACTGGTTTCGCGTCGCAACAAGAAAGGAACTTCCGTAATTTCACTGACACACACGTTTGTGTTTTTCTAACTAGCAAGAAGCAAAGGAAGAGTTTTCAGCAACCTTGTGAGCAGTTTCTTTTATGAAAATATACTGCGATATCTCGAATATCGTGCCAACTGAAACATGAGGCGGCCCGTGTGCAGCACATTCAGTTGGAGAACATCCTACACGAGAGATTAAGTTGAGTCTCCCGTGAAAACCGAATTGATTTGCAAATGAGTGTACTTCTCGAAAAACAGTCCGATTTGGGTTCAAGTAGAACATAAGTTGACGGAAACTCGGGGGTCGCGCCTACCTGATGATCCCCAAGGAGGTCGAAACCAAGGAGGTCAGCAACCTTGTAAGTAGACAAATTGAGCTCTTTCAACTATGCTTATCTCCTTCGGACAGGTATGCTTACACCAGGAGCACCGCCTACAGTTATTGCAAAACTACAAATGTATCTGTCGTATTAGATATAGAACGTATCCAATAGTCCGCTGCAGTCAACTGGATAGCGGGTTTCGTAAGCAATTCATTGGAACTCTTGGAACCCCGCGATGTCACAAAAGACTTAAAAGTATCTAATTTGCTTAGGAACAATCAAGCAACATGGTGCCAAATCTTGCGAAAGTGGAAAAATCGACAGAGTGAGCAGCACATCAATTATCGGGGACAAAACGTAGAATGTAAGATTGCGGAGCTTGCTCTGGGATGCGAATAGTAACCTGAAACGAAAGACGTTCTGATACAAGTGATAGGTTGTGGGCGGGGAGGAATTTCGGGTGTGGGTTGGAGTTTTGCTGCGTGACTATGTATCCTGTGCTGTCAAGGTAAAAAAAACTGCCTTTCTAAAGGCATATATGCGGTACAACATTGAAAAGCAGCATGCAGCTGGGGGGATCACGTTTTACTAATCAGACATGACCGGATACGCCCGACCGATCCGAAGAATAACGTATGCAGGGACTTTGGTCTGCACACTAATTTAATTTGCCAACATAGGTGAAACTCGTGAAATGCTCTCATCTGTAAAGTCCTTTGGGTGTAAACAGAGATTGAACTTAATTGCCTCTGAGTCTTTCGTTTATTATATGAGAATTCCGTTTCCTGGGGACAAGGTGAAACTCTCAGTGTCATTACTCGATCAATAGTGCTCTTTTCTAGTCGGTATCAGCCCGGATGGCGGATATCCGGTCTCAGAACGACACTGTTAATGTACAGGATATTTGTATCGTCAGGTGTACAAATTTTAGTTTTCAGGAAGAACGTAGGGATGATAGAAACTCGGAGACTTCGCCCATCTGATGGGCCACAAATGGATAGAGGCGATCCTGGACTGTTCAGGAGTATCTTACAACCCAAACAGTAGTGTCCTGTGTCCGGAAAATACAATGTCCGACAATGAACCAACCGTAGAGTACACAAATCGATAAAATCAATCCTGCCGTAAAATTGTGATTTGTTCAACATCTGTCCGTCCACTGGCCAAGTGCCTCATAACCGTAAATCAGTTGGAATTCAGTTTCTTACTAGAACGGTCCCTAACATTTCATCCCATTACATTACCTACCTTACGCCGCCTATCTCCTGTGACAGAACGATTCAGCTTCAGAGATCATCCATAGTGTTGCTGTGCCATCACACGTACCCCCAACTTCTCAATTCTGAAGGAACAGCACTACTGAGACTGTGGATTGGTCGGGCCGCTCTTCTTCAGCTACATCGATGCCTCCGTAAGAGCTGATCGAGATCGTGCACTGGAACAAGTTGTCGACATCAACCTCGACCCTGACGTCAATATTTTGCACGACTACGTTATCGGCCAGAAGCAATACAACTCCCATAGCGAACATAAAGCTTCCTTGTGTCCCCGGGCCTTCTAAAAGCATGCATCCTGTTTCCTTTTCTGGCTACCATGGATATAAAGCAACTCACAAGACTCCATGGTTGTAAATATGGTTGTAAATATGCTCATGACATTGCTTTTGATTACACATATCCTGGGCTGTCTTTCATCTCCAAAATGTGTTCAGTACCCTCTAGACCCCATCTTTTACACCTGTGCGTAAAAAGGTCTTTAGATTCTCGATGAGTTTCCGCAAGACAACGCGAAGAGCACCACTGTTAAAGATCAACCCATGGCTAGATTCCTATCCGTCAGATATCTAGAAACGGCGAGAGATGGGCAAAGATAGGTAAAGTAAGTATGACATTTGGCCGTTTCGAAGGTTGCCCCCAATGTACTCTGCTCCTTTTCTAGAGGTATTTGTTACTCAGCTATCACAGAAGCCTCAAATATGGTTGAGTAATTCTATGGAGGAAGGTAGGGTAGATGGTCGTTGGCTTGTTCGCTGAGCTGATTGCAAACGCTTCATCACCAATCGAGGTGACATTATCAGTGCGTTATTGGGGAGCGCAACGCACCGCCACGCTCTCCAATAACGCACTGAGGATGTCACCTCGATTGGTGATGAAACGTTTGCAATCAAATTACCCGGCTCAGCGAACAAGCCAACGACTATGGTTGAGTAATTGTCTGCTACAACAACTCTTTGGTCGTTGACATAAAAAGTAAGGTAAATAATCGGCGAACAGACAGGTCGATTGAAGATTCCCCGTACACAATCATTGAAGGTGTGCTATCGTAAACATCTTGCCCGAGTCCCCATGTATTTTTCTCAGGAAATCAACAACAAGGACGGGATTTTGGAGGGTCAAAAAATTCCATGAGTCTGCTTATTGCGGTATGATTTTCATCGTCGCTCAATCACCTGCAAGACTGGATGGAATTCGAACCTGGTCCCCTATCCACGGGATGTCCTTGGTAGTTTTGATGAGTGCGCGGAAAAATGAATACACTGACAAAAGATCTTGATCAATCACCTGCAAGACTGGATGGAATTCGTACCTGGTCCCCTATCCACGGAATGTCCTTGGTAGTTTTGATGAATGCGCGGAAAAATGAATACACGGACAAAAGATCTTGGTTTGTTTTCTGGTTCACAAAACTCATCCACTCAGTGGAAAATTTGGAGGTACGAATAGTAATTCAAATACTCAGCGGAGTTTCTGCATCATTGTGTTTTCTAGTAGACTTCCCTTGTCAAGACACAACTTCGGAGAATCACCGTTATCTGCAACTACTAAGCTGGTGACATCTGACTAGCTGTTTTAAGCACGCTTTGATACTGGGAAATAGAGTGAAACAAAACACCGAATAGTTGACGCGCCTTTTCTAGTTCTCCCAAGCAACCATCAGGATGGTCCCATGGTTCTGTCGTTCCACAATGGAAGTCGGTCGAAAGCAGTCTACTAACAGACTCACTGTCTGTCTTCAGACAGCGGTGCCAAAATTTGAAATGATGAACCGTATAGATACTTGCAGAATTGTGAAAAACAGACGTTCATGGACCGTGTAGAGATAGACGGGTAAACACCACTCCTTGCAGTCTATGAACCCTTCCCCTGAATAGTGACGCCTAAAGTCCCGATGTGAACGGCTGTTCGACGACGCCAGTAGTTGTAGCTTAAATTCACTCCATAAAACCAACCCAAGGCTCAAATTGCAATGCTTCTAACTCCTTCCCCTTTCGTAACTGCCTCATGAACTCCAAACTGTTGTCACCAGACCTACTGAATATGAAGGGAATAGAGCAATCTCCCAGTAGGCCCACCAAATACAGCACAGGACACAATGTTCCCCGTGAGAAGTGACTCACAATTACACTTCCCATCTCGAACTTTAGCCATCATCGATGAGTGGCTGAAAAGCTCTTCTCCTTGTAGAAATATAGTTGACGAGAACACGAATTCTAGGCATATACCGGCTGGGGTAGACTGGTTCCAAAACGGTGCGTCATAAGAGCCCTGGATCGAACGGATGTTTGCACAGAAAGTCAAACCCTTGTAGATACCCAAGCACTACATAGAGTCTCCCCGGAATTTCAAAATTTGAAATTGCAATTTTGAAAAGGATGCAGCATTTCTGCATAGATGATGGGACCAACAAAGTGCGAAAGATTCCTTGCAGCTTTCAATGGAGGAGACTAGCTTCTTTCCTGCCTGATCATGCTGAATTTATCCAAAATTGATTGAATGATTCCATCGATCGGCTCAAGCTAGAACTGGTCGATGATAAAATTGACCTTCAAAAGTTTATGTGATACTCGGTTGACAGATCGAAGCCAAATCTGGCGCAAAACGTTGGATGTAAGAGGTTTCCTACGTGTTTTTTTGAACAAAAACGACTTACGTAAGCGTAAGAAAATATATCACGAATTTCAGTTAAGGTCTTTTGAGAATGCGCTGAATATGAGACGAACAAGGTTTATTTTGACAAACTGTGAATGCTGTAATCTCTCGATAGTCCTCTCTCGTTTCGGACGACAACATCATGTAATGCATAGGTTGATTTGACTAACATGAGGCAATAGAAGGGCGATGAGTGATCTACCCTGGGAAAAGATGATGAACTGACGCTCATCATATCATCCTACCATGAGTTACTGATTGGCTGGTGCATTTGGCAGGAGCGAGGTCATCACCAACTAAACGCCGATGTTTTCCTGGGATTTTTGATACTAATCCGTGGAACTTCTATCAAAATGATGCTTTGAGACAGTGCAAACAACGGCATATCGTGCTCTCCGTTCCCTATTGTGCCAATGGAGTGTTTGATAGTGGTAGGTGAGGTAGGGTAACACCTGCTGCGTGCCGCTGGTGATTAGATTTTCCATCAAATGGCAAGTAAGGCAGCACAAACTGGTGAGTTTTACGTCACCAAAAAGGGGCCGCAAATGCAACCAGACATGAACTCTTTCCATCAAATGGCAAGTAAGGCAGCACAAACTGGTGAGTTTTACGTCACCAGAAAGGGGCCGCAAATGCAACCAGAAGAACATGAACTCTAGTTCAGTAGATGACGCTACTGGACTGACGAAGGAACAGCACGTCGACCACCGACACCCATTGAAACCTGATGATCAGCGAGTTTCATATAAGAAGCAAAGTTGAACAATGGGAGATTCTATGAAGCGGAAGAGTGAAATGAATTTTAAGACTCAACTGCTTTTCCCATGGTCTGATTACCTACACATCCCCTCCACTATTCAGTCTGCACATGACGGCAGTGAATACAACTGAATCCCCAGACAAATAATGTGTCGTCACACTTACACCCATCCCTACTTTACTCGATGGTACCTTTCAAACACAAGCGCCCGGTCATACTATGGGACCCTCGGTCATCAGCTTCCCAGGAGCTTGATTGGTCGGCAAGGTCACGAATACACAACCCCTCCCCCTTTCTTAACTATTCAAAAAATGCTTTAGATAGGCTGTAGGAAGGGTCATACCAACCTTAAAACAGGAATCCATAGTTTGATTCTGTAAAGTTCCCCTGACTATCAACTTGGCATCATTTGGCTTTCGGCTACAACATTCGTTAAAACACCGACAAATCGGGTTTGTGTAATCTTGCCCTTAACAACTATGTGGATGATAGTGCACTCTCTGTTGGGTTTGTGCCGTCCCGAATAATGAGAACCAGTTTCGCAAGAATTCAAATAGTCCTGACTATTTTAGCAGCCTGTGCACTAGCTCTTTAATCGGACCATCCCGTCAAGGACATCTTCTACGATATACTACAAGAAATGGTTAGCCGTACGGCAAACCGTAAAACCTCGGTTGTTGTTGCCAGGTCGATCGAAAGAACTGATGCCTCAAATTACTTCATGTATTTGAGAAGTATGAGCTAAAACAGCCACAAAGGAACAGTGACGAACAACACAATTTTGCTAGCTTCACTCGACCTTTAATATCAAGTACATGTGTCCAAACTGGTTTTCAAATAGACTGCATGTGGGTAGCGGTGTAATGAGTATGATCTATTATGTATCATACCCTTGTTCGTGCCATATTCCAAATGTCGTACTTTGTAACTGAACGGAGTTTGGGATCATGGGTCAGAGAAAGACGGAGATTTCAGTTGAGAATTTCCCATGTGAACGCCGAGTGGTGCTGAGCTTATTAGACGGAGAAGAAGGCCTCAGAAATGAGGATTTTGAACAGAGGTCATCCCGGAACGTCCGGTCAGATCCGTCAGTTGATGCTCACATTTTGACTACCTTATAGTTTAGACTACACAGCTGCCCTTAGCAAGCAATTGAGGACACGTTCGTCAGCTTTTCATGACGAACAGTCACCTGAAGGGCTTGCGAAGAGGATCCTCGACTGCTTGATCATGGAAAGTTCACCACACACACACACACACACACACACAATCGAACTTCCAAACGATCCCGTTGGTATCGGTAGATGGTATCTCCTCCAGAGCAAAACAGTCGAACTGTGATCCACCGTCATCCGCACTTCTTATGAATGTGGTTTATCACCAACATTCCGAAATGCCTAGATTTTACAGCCAACTTCCAAACGATCCCGTTGGTATCGGTAGATGGTATCTCCTCCAGAGCAAAACAGTCGAACTGTGATCCTCCGCCATCCGCACTTCTTATGAATGTGCTTTATCACCAACATTGCCAAATGCCGAGATTTTACAGCCCTAACTCCAACCCCCTGCTGCACAATATCGCTCATTGACATCTATTTTATCTTGAAGCCTTTCCAATCAGGTCTGGGACAGATCAGAAGAACCTTTGGTCAAAATAAATCCACAGCTTTTTCTACAGCATCTGCTGTCGCAGCTAGCAAGATTTTGTCAACTTGGTTGGGTTTCGTCGTTGCAGGCGGTGAGCTGGCATCTGTTCTTATAAATATCAAAAATATAAGCAGCCTAATACTTAGCGAATATACACTCGTTTGCAGACTAATTTGGTTTTTCGACAGACTCACTTGGAATCCAGCTGAATCTCTCGTTTGTGATGTTCTCAAGCAACTGAATGTGCTGCACCAGGCCGCCTCATGTTTCAGTCGCTAAGATATTCGAGATATCGCGATACATGTATATCTTTGTAATGTACTACTCATAAGGTTGCTGAAAATCCATCGACAGTCCATCACCGGTTTCGCTCTTCTTGGGGCTCATCAGGTAGGCGCAGTCCCCGGGTTCCCGTTAGCCTTATGTTCTACTTGAAACCAAAGCTGAATCTCCCGTTTGTGATCAGCAACCTTATGAGTAGTACATTATAAAGCCTAATACCTCCTTCCTCTGATGACGGTAATTAACAGGTCTGCTGACTTCAGCAAAACTATCTCTGATAAGAACCGTGACAAGAGTGCTCACCACCATCGGAACAGCTGGACATTCATATGAGAATAGTTTATCCACGGCTCTGCACAGGCACTCAGCCACCTTTCGGGCTTTAACTGATTGCCCAGCTGGATTTCCTGGACATAAAGTCCCCACGGGTAATGACTTACCGAAGACAGCATCAAGAACCAGTCAAACATTCTGCGTACATGAGCACGGTGCAAGAGGCACCATTCCTACCGGAACGATAGACAGTGATTTAAAAGTCTTGTTGCAGAAAAAGTGCTGCGGCCCGGCCTTGAAGAGGGACCGTTGCGTATTTTCATCCCAAGCCGCTCTGCGTTTGTCTTGGTGAAGCACAACGAAGGCATCAGCGACTTCCGTCAAATACTATCGAATTCCCACATTACTAAAGCCAGAGTTCACACAGATTTTGAGAAAATGTTTAGAAAAGGCCACACATGCATGAAATTCTTCCTCGACAGTACCAGTGGTATTGAGGAAAAAGGAAAGGAATCAAGTACCTCGACGTGATGTATTTTCAACCCCACGGATCGACGATAATTTCAATACACTCGGGAGAGTTGAATAAATGAGTATGTTAGATCTGGCATCAAACCGTTTGTAGATAAAAGGGAAGGGAAACGATCGACAGTAAAAGGCTTTCTAAAAATCTTCTATTCATGTGAATTTCAGACAATGTCTTTATGGTTAGTAGGTGCACCGGCAAGTCTTGAGTTGTTTACGCAGATCTCAACACAAGGCCTTACGCCTCCCGTGTTTGGCGTACTTTGGGACTGCCAACTCGGTCACCAGCATCAATGATAGGAACACTACACAAGGAACTGCTACTGCATTGGCTTATAGCAATTTGTTTGAATGCATCCCTTTAGCGGAAAGAATAAAAAAGCTGATACAATAAGGGACTTGAGACAAGTCGAAATCAAGCATCAAGCATCCCAGGCCCCTGAGCTATCAACTATCCGTCAAACAATGCCCATAGAAGCTGGGAACATGAACGCCACTGATATCGGTCAGTCATCATATCGTTCAATCTCTCCAGCCGAGCGCATGGAAGATAACCTGAGCCCCATCCTGGAAGGCGAATAGTGCCAAAAACGTCCAAACGTTTCTTACCATCCCTCATTTCCTTCTGCCTTGTCGAATTCTGTTCATCTCTAGATTTCCCCACTCCCATTTAGGCACGGAAAACATTCCGAGAAGGCGGTAACTCGACATGCGTAAAGCCTGGTCCTGTCACCTTAGCTTGCAATGCTGGATATATTCTTTTAGCGAAGTAAGATAGATGATAATAATAATGATCAGTCAGCTTTCGGTGCCTTGCTGCCATGCCACCAAAAGAAAGCACGAGGGCTGGGATACTGCCACGTTGCCCAAGCCTAGGCAGGGGAAATCGAGAGGCGGAGGTCGGATTCGAACCACGTACTTCTGGTCAGTCAATTCGCGCTCTAACCACTTGAGCCATTTCACCCCCGAGCGAAGTACCCACTGACTGACTCAAAACCCGTCTCCTGATCATCTCATTGCGAATTCGTTGGCACCAGTCGATTTCAGTGATTTCAGTTTTGGGACATCGGTTTTCAAAGAGCTGAAGATGTCTCAGATCCTCCGCCCGAAGTGACCAAGTGTCTCCATCTTATAAAAATACCTCCGGCACTGTGATCAAATGCACGCATCCTTTGAGATCCAGTGAAATGTCTTTTGACGCCACAAATGGCGCAAACTGGCAGTTCTCGTACTGGGGATTCAGGAGTTCACTTCGTCTGTCACACTAACGTCAGAGCTAATGCAACTTCCTAGATACCTGTGGTATTTCACAAAATCCATTGTCACTTCTAGGATAAAAGATTGTATTTCCTGCAGCGTGAATTTGCATTTATTGGGCGCGAAGCACATGCTGAAGGGCTGAATGACTTCGATCAACTTTCGGGCTGTTTGTACTTCTGGCACGTTTTCAACAATGAAGGCATTCTCGTCTGGTTATGCCAAGTAAGCAACGTTCTCGCAAGGAAATATCTGAACACTGGAGTTTCTGAGGCTTTACAGTTTTCGCATCGGTACTTGATCAGTGACAAAATTACACAAAAAACTGACAGACAGAAAGAGAGAGGGAGTAAGAGAGTATGTGAACGCAAACAGCGCACGATATTGACGGACTTCTGGGGTATACTCTTTTGCACAAGCCTGCTGAAATGAACTAACTGGCCGATAGGATCGAAAACACTCTTGAAGTCAAAGGACACTATATAACACATGACGGAGCGTGGAGATATGTTCCACGCAGCTGCATACTGGCCAGAATCCAGCTTGTTGTTCTCGGGTGGCGTCTTCACGCACCGTTGTAAGATGACATAATGGAAGAGAGGTAACGAGTCTGGTTACAACGGGAGTCAGTCTAGTTCTTCTATGATTGACACAATCACTGCAAGTACTCTTTTTGAAAATGGGTACCATCGATTTACTCGTTAGTTGGGATGGTCTCTTTCGCCCAGATATAGTCAAATAAGCTGGATGAGACCGACTGAGGACTTCAGCTCCATCTTTGAACAGAGTGGGCGGTAGTTCGTCAGGACCAGCAGCTGGGTGATGCTTGAGTAAAACATAGTATTCGCTAATTTCTGAGGTTGTCGGGGGTCCAAGTTCACTATCCAGGATTGCACAACAACCTGGGAATCCGACTGAGCAAATACGAGTGGCCAGTTGAATTGGTCTTCAAAGTGCTCAGTGCAACCATTCATGCACTCTTCTTTTTCAGAGATAAGCAAGCCGTTGACGTCAGTGATCATTTCGCTCGCCGGAACAGTTTACGCGCACTCCTAGAGATTCCAGCCTTCTCTATTTTCTCAGGTTTCTGTATCCACCAGGTTTCTCGACTCACGTAGATGCCCTTTTTCATCTCCGCATTCTTTGTCGAATTGCTGTACAGGCTCAGAGAAGAGGGAGTTATCCCAAGGCTTTTTAAGTGCCACTTCCTATGCTAAAAGGTCACGTAGCTAGGATAGAGGATCTCAACAAAAGGTATACGTCGCGACACCCCTCGTCTCCCATAAAAAGGTCAGATAGCAATACGGCCAAGACCACAAAATCCAAAACAAGTACGCGATTTTCTGGGAATCGCGTGCATGGTTCATGAAAGATTTTGCGCTCATGGAGTAATGTATGCTTTGACTCAGAAAGACGCGGTTGGGTTGGAATGGCTAATACACGAAGTGTTCTCGTCACGCATTCTAACTTAACAGATGTGCATCAGACATCGACGTTGGTGACAGCGATCAGGATTGTTTTTCTCCTGGACAGTCAAAACGGCAAGGGACACGTAATTGACTACCAGGGATCGATTTCTAAGGAAGAACGGAAGTTACTAACATAGTAAAAGAAAAGTGCTTGTTACATTCCTTCATCTGGTGACTTGCCTCAGACACGACCTACATGTCGGGCAGTTTATCACCTAGGGAAACCACTAATCGCCTCGTTCGTCAAAACCTTCACAGACGAGCAAACTACCGGGTGGCAAGATCTACTCCAACAGTGTTGGCTCATTCTTCAGGAAGCCTAACAAGCACCAAGAAGACTATCCCGCGTGTACAGCACAGTACGTACAGGTAGCGCACATTCCAACAGCAAATCACTAAGACTAGCACAGTATGCCGTCAGTGACCCAAGCTAAGAATCGCAATGTCCCTGACGCTATGGGACCAGCTGATATGAACACATGATCTGCTGTATTTAAGGCGTGGATCTGGTTTTCTGCGTCCCGGGATCGCTAAAAAGCGACGTGAATAACTGGGACTAGCTGGTATAAACAAACAAAAGCAAGCAGCACATAGTCCCTACTGGAGGCCTCCTCAATACATAGACGTGATCAACCTTTGCAACCCACGGCGAGCATGTGGATTCTTCAAAGACCCGAGACTCCAAAACACGGCAAACCTCAAATAATGAGAGCCAGCCATCAAGATGAAATGGTGGGAGTTGATATATTGGTACCTATAAGCCACACACCCCAGGAAAAACTAATACACGATTCTTCAAAGACCCGAGACTCCAAAACAGGGCAATACCTCAAATAATGAAAGCCAGGCATCAAGCTGAAATGGTGGGAGTTGATATATTAGTACCTATAAGCCACACCCCCAGGAAAAACTACTACATAGTTGTACTAGTAGACCAGGTGATGTGAGGATCTATCACTACGTCAGGTCGATCTGAAGTGCATCCATTCAACTACACGATCGCTAATCGAACTCCGAAAACACTCTGGCACAAGGACCTGGCAAGGAACTGAAGACCAACGTAACCTGTAACCCGTAAGGTGACGGTTTGGTCGACCAAACGAAGAAAACCCCTGAAAGCCTCTACTCAAACGAATCCGAACAAATGGGACCAGGTGCTACCTTTTGGCACATAGAAGTTTTTGGTACGCAAATCCACTGGTCAGGTACTATCTGTTATATCTGCTGATTCGTCAATCTGTGGTATCTGCTGCTGGCCCGTTCCAGTGCCTAGTGCGTGAAAAATGACTCACAGAAGGGAACACAACTACCATATTGCGAACAGGCGAGTGCGAGAGCAAAAGTTACAACGGTCCCACGCTACATAAAGGGGACTTTCTGACATTGATCCAGGCTGTCTGATAGGCGTTAGTGAACGCCCATCAACATCGATCGTGTCTCTATCAAATGCCTGAACGCTGATCACATTC